AAATAAGATACTCCCAAACAAAAATGGCCACAAGTATAAGGAATTTTTCTCTATAATTATAATTGATGATTTTTAATATACTTCTAACAGAAACCAATAAAGCCAGAACAAAAAAAAAGTTGAGGAAACCAATGTCATGGATAACAAATATAATTGGCTTAATCTAAGAGATTAGCCAATAAATAATAAATATACTTTCTATCAAAGAACACATAGAACTTCTACAGAAAGTGAATATGCACTTGGCCACAAATAAGTCTGAACACATTTTAAAAACTTAGTATTTTATCAATTCTCTAATTATAATGCAATGTAAAATAAACTAGGCTGGGCATGGTGGCTTATGCCTGTAATCTAAATCAGAAAAATAATACTTTGGGAGGCCGAGGCAGGCAGATCGTTTGAGTTCAGGAGTTAAAGACCTGCCTGGGCAACATGGCAAAACACCCTCTCTACAAAAAAATATAATACAAAAATTAGCCATGCGTGCTAGCACATGCCTGTAGTCCCAGCTACTCAGGAGCCTGGAAGGTGAAGGTTGCAGTGGGCTGAGATTACACCATTGCACTCCAGTCTGTGCAACAGAGTGAGATCCTGCCTCAAAAAAAAAAAAAGTTAGCCTGGCATGGTGGCATGTGCCTGTAGTCCCAGGTCCTTGGGAGGCTGAGGTGGGAGAACCTCTTGAGCCCAGGAGGTCAAAGCTGCAGTGAGCCATAATTGCACCACTGCAATCAGCCTGGGCAACAGAGAAGGATCCTGTCACATACATACTTAGAAAAGTTAAAAGCAGACAACAGTAAACAACTCTATATGCTTGCAAACTAAAAAACACACTTCTAAATAATCACCATGAAAACCACGTAATATTTAGACCTTAATAACCGTAAGAGAAATATACATCAAAAGAAGTCCTGGAATATAGTCAAGCTATAGTTGGAGAGAAATTTAAAGACTTAAATATATTTAGTAAAAAATAAAACAATAAATGAGGTCAAGAAACTAAAAAAAAAAAAAAATTAATCCACCCCAGTTAGATCATCTGTCTGTCTTTATTTCTATAAAGATTAATGAAATTTTACAATAGTACATATTACCAAGAAAACCAAAGCTGGTTCTCTGAAAAGATCAATAAAACAGATAAATCTCCCAGGAACCTTGATAGAAAAAGAAAAAAACAAACAATATTGGAAAGCTACCAAAAGGAGGAGTGTACATGGTTATAAATACAGTCAAGATTTCAAACATACAACCATAGAGTCAGTTTATGCTAATATATTTTAAAACACACATGCACACTTTTCTAGAACTAAAAATTATTTTAGAAATAGAACATCTAAATGAATAAGTAATCATTAAAGAAGCTAAATTCATAGACAAAAAGAGTCTCCTTGACAAAAGAACACTAGACTGACACAGTTTCACAATTTTAATCAAAGGGCAAAAAAAATCTCTCATTATAAAAAGCTTCCAAGAAAAGAAACAAAACAAGAAAACTATTTGGTTTGTTTCATCTAGCCAGAATAATATTGATATCAAAAACAGAAAGGACAAGACCTAGAAATAAAGTGTAACACCCATTTCACTTTTGTTCATAGACGCAAAAACCTACATAAAAAATTATACCAGGCCGGGCGCGGTGGCTCAAGCCTGTAATCCCAGCACTTTGGGAGGCTGAGGCGGGTGGATCACGAGGTCAAGAGATCGAGACCATCCTGGTCAACATGGTGAAACCCTGTCTCTACCAAAAATACAAAACATTAGCTGGGCATGGTGGTGCATGCCTGTAATCCCAGCTACTGAGGAGGCTGAGGCAGGAGAATTGCCTGAACCCAGGAGGCGGAGGTTGCGGTGAGCTGAGATAGCGCCATTGCACTCCAGCCTGGGTAACATGAGTGAAACTCCGTCTCAAAAAAAATAAATAAGATTAAAAAAAATAATTAAATTTTTAAAAAATGTTTTAACTAATATAGTCAATTGGTCCTACTAACATGTAGACATAGTCATCTTATAATAAACTGCCATCAAAAAAAAAAAAAAACAAACTGTAACAACAACAAGACTGTATCCCCCAAGAGTCATTTGGCAAGATCTAGAGATATTTTTGGATGTCACAACTGGTGGGGGTGCTGCTGGCATCTAGTGGGTGGAGACTGGGGGTCCACTAAACATCCCACAATGCACAGGACAGAACCCAACAATGAAGTTTCAGCCCAAAATATCAACCATGCTGAGGTTGGAAAACCCAAGTCCAGGCATAGTCCTGACCCAGGACCTTTGCATATGCCATTCCCACTGCCTAGAAGGCTCTTCTCCCACACCAGGCACGTGGCTCATGCCTGTAATCCCAGCACTTTGGGAGATGAGGCAGGTGGATCACTTGAGATTGGGAGGTGGAGACCAGCACGGCCAACATAGTGAAGTCCCGTCTCTACTAAAAATACAAAAATGAGCTGGGTGTGGTGGCATGCACCTATAATCCCAGCTACTCGGGTGGCTGAGGCTGGAGAATTGCTTGAACCCAGGAGGTAGAAGTTGCAGTGAGCCAAGATCATGCCATTGCACCCCAGCCTGGGCAACAGAGCGAGACTCTTTCCAAAAAAAAAAAAAAAAGCTCTTCTCCCAGACACCTGCACAGTTCACTGTCTTTCCTTATGATGTCAGCTTGAATGCCAAGCCATCCCTCACTAGTCATGCCATCGTGCTCTGTCCTCCTGCCCTGGCTTCCTGTTTGGGCCTCACCTCTATCAGCAAGTCATCCCAAGAAAGCAGGGCCCTTGTCTGTTTCTTTCACCCAATCCCCAGTACCTAGAACAGAGCATGGCCCATAGCTAGTGCTCCATTAATGAAGTGAGTGAATGACAACCAAAACAAATACTGCCCAGGACATATTCTCTCCCTTCTTATGGAGTTTCAGGGCTGGCTGAGATTTTTGGCCACAAAGACCAAGCCATAGAATTGGGGGCTGTAGATGATAATGATCTGGGACTGATATATGTGGCACAGAAGTGAGCAAAGCTGACAAGGTTGAACCATGGAGCTCCTCAGCCAGCCCTACCTTGGCAATGTCTTGGCCAGCCTGGGAGCAGAGGGGTGTCTCCCCTGACAGGGGACACTCAGATGCCCTGGTCCCCACCTGCAGGAGGTGCAGGTCTATGCTGTACAGGTCCCCACCTGCAGGAGGTACAGGAGCATCCTGAAAATCTTCCTGGCAGAGCCCCGGCCCAACCTAACCCACCCTCCCATCCCAGGCTGGAAACCTGCACCACCCCTCAGGTGGAAGGTGGCAGGAGCCCCACGCAGCTTCTCTCTAAAAACATGAGGCTGGTTTCCATGTGTGTCATTCTGTACATGTGGAGGCAGGGAGGGCTTTCCTGGAACTAGGCGAAGGTGGCACCATGTATCGTGATGCAGTCCTTCTTGGCAGCTGTGGGGCACAAGAGGCCAGTTACAGGAGCCCCCTGACCTGGCCAGCTTCTGCACTGGAGAGGCCAGAGGCAGAAGCTACAGCAGGAAATCTCTCCCACTGAACAAACCGTCCTGCTACTCACTGGCTTGTGTGTGACCCTGCAGGGGTCTTGTTCTTTCCATGTCCCATGGCTAATAATCCAGGAGAAGGCAAACCATGGCCCAAAGACCAAATTCTGCCTACTGCCTACTCTTATCAATAAAGTTTCATTGGAACACAGCCAAATCCATTCATTTCTATATTTCATGTTTTGAGCAGTTGTGGCAGAAACGGTCTGGCCCACTAGCCTAAAATATGCACAATCTGGTCATTTATGAAAAGGTTAATGAACTTCTGATTTAAATTATCACCTAATCCCAGTCTTCCCGGAGAGCGAAGGGGGTGCTATTAGTTTTACTGTGGCCGGGCATGGTGTCTCATGCCTGTAATCCCAGAATTTTGGAAAGCCAAGGTGGGTGGATCACTTGAGGTCAGGAGTTTCAGATCAGCCTGGCCAACATGGCAAAACCCCATCTCAACAAAACGTATGAAAAGTAGCCAGGTGTGGTGGCAGGCACCCATAATCACAGCTACTCGAGAGGTTAAGGCAGGGGAATTGCTTGAACCTGGGAGGTTGCAGTGAGCCGAGACTGTGCCATTCACTGCACTCCAGCCTGGAAGACAGCGTGAGGCTCCATCTCAAATAATAGTAAATACTTATTAGAATATATATTATATATTTACTTTTAAATTATATAACTATACTATTTTTATAACCATTATAATCAATAATAAATATTTCACTGTGATAAGTATAATTAGATTAGTGGTTCTCGATCCTTAACACATAGTTAGAATCTCCTAAAAGATTTTCTAAAACTCAAAGCTCTCATTGCTCAGCCCAGATCCATTAAATTCATTCTCACAATCAGCTGCTGTGATGATTGATATGCCCATTTTGCAGATGGAAACATAGAGGCTGAGAGAGATGATCTACTTGTCAGGATCAACCAGCTAGTCAGTGCTGGGGCTGGGATTTGGACCTGGGCAGTCCAATGCCATAGGCTAGGCTTTTTACCACTAGGTGAGTGTTTTTCAGGTACACCGTTTGCCCAGGTTCTTCAGTACAACAAGGGGGAGGGCGTCTTGGTCCGTGGGGTGGGTTGGAGATGCAAGCCCAGGTAACCTGAGTTTGGAGAGTCTCATCGTGCAGTAATGCTTGTAATGATGCTATTTTCTTTTTTCCTTTCTTTCTTTTTTTTTCCTGAGATGGAATCTTGCTCTGTAGCACAGGCTGGAATGCAGTGGCATGATCTTGGCTTACTGCAACCTCCACCTCCTGGGTTCAAGTGATTCTCCTGCCTCAGCCTCCTGAGTAGCTGGGATTACAGTGCATGCTATCACACCTGGCTAATATTTGTATTTTGGTAGAGACAGGGTTTCACCATGTTGGCCAGGCTGGTCTCGAACTCCTGACCTCATGATCTGCCCACCTTGGCCTCCCAAAGTGCTGGGATTACAGGCATGAGTCACTGTGCCCAGCTTGCAATGATGCTTTTTTTTTTTTTTTTTTTTTTTTTTAAGGTGTGCACTTTATTCAACTGGTCTCAAGTCAGTGTACAGGTAAGCCCTGGCTGCCTCCACCCACTCCCAGGGAGACCAAAAGCCTTCATACATCTCAAGTTGAGAGACAAAAAAAGGGGTAGCCACGGAGGCTAAAATCTTCAAAATAAAACAAAATAAAAAAAGTATTAAGGCGAAATTTTAAAAATTTTTCATTACATAATTTACAACAAAAGCAATGCTGTTACCTCCCCTGTGTGGACTCAGGACAGGACTGGGCCATTCTCCTTAGAGAGAAGTGGGGTGGCTTTTGGGAGGGCAAGGGACTTCCTGTAACAATGCATCTCACGATATTTGGAATGACTTTAAAAAAACAATGTACACAATCAAGTCCTTGGCCACACTGCAGAACTTTGGGCGATGCTCGCTCCAGCTGACTGCTGTCACCTTCACCGTTCCAGTTTTTAAATCCTGAGTCAAGCCAAAAAAATAAATAAATAAATAAAAACAAAACAAAAAAACAAATAAAGCCATGCCAATCTCATCTTGTTTTCTGCACAAGTTAGGTTTTGTCAAGAAAGGGTGTAATGCAACTAAGTCACAGTCCACCTAGAAGCATTTGCTGTGGAAGATGGAGGCGGTGGATGATGGAGGGGCTGGACCCATCATACTCCCGCTTGCTGATCCACATCTGCTGGAAGGTGGACAGCGAGGCCAGGATGGAGCCACCGATCCACACGGGGTACTTGTGCTCGGGAGGAGCAATGATCTTGATCTTCATCGTGCTGGGTGCCAGGGCAGTGATCTCCATCTGCATCCTGTCAGCGATGCCAGGGTACATGGCGGTACCACCAGACAGCACTGTGTTGGCATACAGGTCTTTGCGGATGTCCACGTCACATTTCATGATGGAATTAAGGGTAGTTTTGTGGATGCCACAAGATTCCATGCCCAGGAAGGAAGGCTGGAAGAGCGCCTCAGGGCAGCAGAACCACTTGTTGCGGATGGTGATGACCTGACCATCGGGCAGCTCATAGCTCTTCTCCAGGGAGGAGCTGGAGGCAGCCATGGCCATTTCCTGCTCAAAGTCCAGGGCGATGTAGCACAGCTTCTCTTTGATGTCATGCACGATTTCCTGCTCAGCTGGGGTGGTGAAGCTGTAGCCTACTCAGTGAGGATCTTCATGAGGTAGTCAGTCAGGTCCTGGTCAGTCAGGTTCAGACGCAGGATGGCATGGGGGAGGACAAACCCCTCGTAGATGGGCACAGTGTGGGTGACCCCATCACCGGAGTCCATCACGATGCCAGTGGTACGGCCAGAGGCATACAAGGAAAGCCCGGCCTGGATAGCCACATACATGGCTGGGGTGTCGAAGGTCTCAAACATGATCTGGGTCATCTTCTCGCTGTTGGCCTTGGGGTTCAGGGGGCCCTCAGCAAGCAGCATGGGGTGCTCCTCAGGAGCCACACGCAGCTCGTGGTAGAAAGTGTGGTGCCAGATCTTCTCCATGTCGTCATCCCAGTTGGTGACAATGCCATGCTCAATGGCATACTTCAGGGTCAGGATGCGTCTCTTGCTCTGGGCCTCGTCACCCACGCACGCAACCCACGCACGTAGGAGTCCTTCTGACGCATGCCCACCATCACGCCCTGGTGCCTGGGGTGCCCCACAATGGAGGGGAAGACGGCCCGGGGAGCATCGCTGCCCGCGAAGCCAGCCTTGCACATGCCGGAGCCTTTGTCTACAACAAGTGCAGCGATATCATCATCCATGGCGAGCTGGCGGCGGGTGTGAACGGGCAACGGAATGACAAGGGCGAGGCTCTGTGCTCGCGGGGCGGACGCGGTCTCAGCGGTCACAATGATGCTTTTTTCTAGCTTGACCAAAACATTGCCATGCTTATCATCTTGGACTTTCTGCATGAGGACAAGGACCAGGTCTGTTAGAGCAGGAGTCCCCAACCCTCAGCTCACAGACTGCACTGAGACAGTCTGCAGCCTCTCAGGAACTGGACCATACAGCAGAAGTTGAGAGGAGGACAGGCAAGCACTGTGTCACCAGTGTTTATAGCCACTCCCCATCACATGCATCACCGCTTGAACTCCGCCTCCTGTCAGATCAGCAGCGGCATTCGATTCTCATAGAAGCATGAAGCCTATTGTTAACTGAGCATGCGAGGGATCTGGGCTGCATGCTCCTTATGAGAATCTAATGTCTGATGATCTGTCACTGTCTCCCATCACCCCCAGATGGGACCATCCAGTTGCAGGAAGACAATCTGAAATCATTATTTCGTTACATATTACAATGTAATAATAATAAATGTACAATAAATGTAATGTGTTTGAATCGTCCCAAATCCATGCACCCCGCCCTGGGCCATAGAAAAACTGTCTTCCAGAAAACCAGTCCCTGGTGCCAAAAAGTTTGCGGACCACTGTGTTAGCATGTTCCAAACGGCACCTTTAGGTATTGAACTCAACCATCAGCACCTCTAACTTTCAGAGAGATGGGAGGCAGGCTGAAATTTCAAATCCTCTAATGACAAGGTTGGTTTCTTTGGCAACTAGCCCCACTGAGGCTGTCCGGGTGCCCCCAGCCATCAGTCATCTCATTAGCATACAATAGACACATCACTTCATACATTACAAATGTATGGCCAGGAGCAGTGGCTCACGCCTGTAATCCCAGCACTTTGGGAGGCCGAGGCGGGTGGATCACGAGGTCAAGAGATCGAGACCATCCTGGTCAACATGGTGAAACCCCGTCTCTACTAAAACTACAAAACATTAGCTGGGCATGGTGGTGCACGCCTGTAATCCCAGCTACTCAGGAGGCTGAGACAGAAGAATTGCCTGAACCCAGGAGGCGGAGGTTGCGGTGAGCCGAGATCGCGCCATTGCACTCCAGCCTGGGCAACAAGAGCGAAACTCTGTCTCAAAAAAAAAAAAAAAAATGTATGAAGTACTGCGCCTCAGGATACTGGGGCAGAGACCACACATAAACTCTTAAAACATTCCAGTAACACACAGAATGCAAGAAAAAAACTGCACAGTAGATTCTTCATAAGTATCTGTTATCCAGAATGTATAAATAACTTTTACAACTCAACAACAAAGACAATCCAATCTAAAAACTAACGAAGAACTTTAATACACACTTCACCAGCAAGCACTTGAGAGATACTTAACATCATTGTCATAATTAAAACCACAAAGAGATACCCCTTAACTCACACTAGAATAGTTATACTAAAAAAAACAAGTGTTGACAAAGATGTGCAGAAACTTGAACTATTAAACACTGCTTGTGACAATATGAAATGGTGCAGCATATGTGTTAAATAATTTGGAGTTTCTTCAAACAGTTACAAATAGATTTACTGTATGACTCAGTGATTCCATTCCTAGGTATATACACCAAAGACCTGAAAACAGGTGTTCAAACAAAAATTTGTATGCTCTTTAAATGTGTCAAGATCATAAATATGCCGGAAAGTCTTGGGAACAGTGCCAGGAAAACTGGATCAGAATGAAAAAACACATATATTCCCAGGTGGGGCAGGAGGTAAAAGTGAAATGAGTTTGTGAACTGAATTATCACGTAGGAACCATGCCGATTTCCTGATCTAGGAGTTATGTGGTGGTAACCTAGGAGAGTTTCCATGCTTTGGGTAAAATATACAGGAGTATTTTGTGGGAAGCTGCAAATCTGGTACAGCAATAACTGCTGGGGACTCTAAGAAAAGAAACAGGTTATATTTTGCACTGCTACTGGAAGTTTCCTAGAAGTATGACATTATTAAAAAGTAAATTACTCTTTAAAACATCCATATCAATACTATGCCAGAAAAGCAGAAACATCATCAAAATCTACTATAGAGGATACGCTTCATCCAAAGCTGTGAACCCTTATAAAAGCCTCAATGTCAACAGACTCCACTTAGTAGATATTATTATATTTATTAGTATTAGAGGCTACTGTGTGGCTACATTAGTGTTACAGCACGGTGTGGATATTAGTGTTAGGGCATTGTGTACATATTATATTGGTGTTGGAGAACAGGGCAGATATTACATTAGCATTAGGGCACCTGTGGCTAGTATTACATTAGTATTAGAAGCAACAGTGTGGATACTAGATTAGCGTTAGGGTATGGTGTGGATATTATATTGGTGTTAGGGCGCTGTGTGATTATTATATTAGAGGCCACTGCGAGAATACATCTTAGCAGCCACTGTGTCTGGGACATTGACAATGATATCAGGGTGTAGTCATAACGATGGGATTTGGGGATTTCATTTTTCTAGATGAATTACTTCCTTTGCTGAGTACTCTAAAGAGTCTCTTCTCTGCACTCAGGGCCGTGGAAAGGAAGCTTTTTACTCACCAATGAACAACACTTAGTTGACACGACCCTCTCGCTGCCCTGAGGAAGTCGAATCCTCGCTGCTTCCGGCACCTCAGAGGAAGTTGGTCAGGGATGGGTTCGCGCGCCCCCTGGTGGCGCCAGAGCTCAGCACAGACACTCTTAGTTTCTCTGCGGAAGTACACCCCCGCCTGGCTGTCCTGAAATACCTGACATGGTGGCAGGTGCCTGTAATCCCATCTAATTGGGAGGCTGAGACAGGAGAATCTCTTGAACCCGGGAGGCAGAGGTTGCAGTGAGCTGAGGTCGTGCCACTGCACTCCAGCCTGGGCAACAGAATGAGACTCTGTCTCAAAAAAAAAAAGGTTATGCAGTTTCTACCACTGTTCCCTGAGAAAAGGTTTGAAATAATTAAATTAGGCCAATTAATATGTCAAACTTGTTTTCCAAGATCGCTATCAAATAGGCAGGAACATTTTTATAATTAGCATGACAGTTGTCTATAGGAAGACATATGCTTCTAAAATGTTGGAAAATTGTTTTTGTGTTGGGTTTCCACATTTTCCCCCAACCTAATTTATATAATGTTTGTTTTAAAGTGTACTTCAAAAATAAAAAGATCAAAAGGAATTTCAGAGATTGAATCTCATAAAGTCTGAATTTGTTGAATCCAAGTAACGAGGCTTTTCTTTTCTTTTTTTTTTGAGACAGAGTCTCACTCTGTCACCAGACTGGAGTTCACCATGTTGGCCAGGATGGTCTCAATCTCCTGACCTCATGATCCACTCACCTCAGCCTCTGAAAGTGCTGTGATTACAGGGGTGAGCCACGGTGCCCGGCCATAACAAACCATTTCTAAATATCAATATAGTTGGAGAAACAGCTTAGAAAAAAATTCAAGAGTGCCACTACAAAAGATAGATTGTAGTAAACTTCATCAGTTTCAGGAATTGTACATTTTCAGAGCCTAGATGTATCATAGTCCAATCTAATTTTAAGAATAGAACACAAACACAAAAAATCAAATGTTTTCTCACTATCTGCCCTTAGGGCTACACCTCCTTGCCTGCGTGTAACCCAGGGATAAAGGTGGGTGAATAATTAACTGCTGTTTATTTGTGCTAATGAAGAGCAGTCACATAAATAATATAGGCTCTTAGATTCCAGGCCAATATTCCTATCCTGGTCACCCCAAGGCCAGGTACCAGACAACTAGGGACACAGCCACTATGTCCCAGAGCCCATGGAATTAATTAAGCAAGTGAATCCTGAATTGGCTTAGCCTGCCTTGTCTGTGGAGACCGCAACAAAGACTCATGGTCATGCTTTCTTTTCGCCTCTCTGCCTCTTGATGGATCCCAGTGCCTGCTTGTGACACTGCATGGTGTGGCATGCCCCTACTGTTGGGAACTATGAGTTCCAAACTATTTTTTCAAGGGCAGTCATCTCCTGATCTGTTAGCTTTAACATAAGCTATAGTTTGAATGTGTTCCTCAAAGTTCATGTGCTGGAAACTTGATCCCTTATGGTAATGTTGGGAGGTGGAGCCTAATGGAAGGTGTTTGGGTCACGGGATCATGGCCCTCATAAACAGATGAATGTTGTTACGTTGGGAGTGGATTTGCCCCATCTTGCTTTCTCTTTGCTCTTGCACCATGTGATGATGCCTTCCACCATGGGATGACACAGCAGGAAGGCCCTCACCAGATGCTGGCATCTTTATCTTGAACTTCTCAGCCTCCAGACATATGAGATACAAACTTCCATTATCATATATTACCTAGTCTGTGGTATTCTGTACTAGCAGCCCCAAATGGAATAAGACTCATTACCTGAATAATACCAAAACCTACATTTTTAAAAACAGCCTGTTAGAACAATTCAAGGGACCGGAAGTTTGCATTATGTTGCAAGGCAACAATTTAAGCAGTGAACTGATGGCAAAGTTATTTACCATCTTAAGCTGAAAACTGCTTCCTGGTACATTTCAATAATTCTCAGCCTCCAGAGCAATAGAGAATAAATCTATTTATTTTTTTCAAGCCATGAGCTATCAGATATCTGAACACATCTATAACTGTCTTTCCTGAGGTACATTTACAAGAAGCACACACATTAGCCTATAGATTTCTTTGAACATTTTTTTTCACTCTTATTCCTATAATAATTAGCATTTTGCAAGTCATTTTGGCTTCAATTACCCAGTGGATTGCTTGTTTTCTTCCAACATTTTCAGTTTCCTCAAGGATTATTTATTCATTCATTCATAGATTAATTAAGCAGACCATCAGCAGCCACATAGCCTTCACTGGTTAATCAGTGTCTTTCTTAAAATGCGGTGTAGGCTGAGCGTGGAGGTTGTAGTAAGCCAAGATGGTGTCACTGCACTCCAGCGTGCGGGACAGAGCAAGACTCCAACAAAAAAAAAAAAATCTTTTTCTGGGTTTTAATATGTAAACTGATTGTTCATAAACCTGTCATCATTTCAGATATTTAACATATCTTGCAAAGTTTAAATCACTGAAATAACATGGAAAATAAAACATTGATTTTCAGAGTGTGAAAAGC